ATTGAGGTGATCATTATCGTTGAGGTGATAGGCCCGTGCGGAGCACGGGCAATTTCATTGAAATTCTGCTACAGCAGCCGTTGGGCCCGAGTAGTTCTGCCTATATGTCGATTGAAAGATTTATCTCAAAGTGATATAACTGAATTTCGAAGTTTCCGCAGCATCACCATCCATTATGCCATCCACGTAAGCTTCGCTTACCAAGCTAAACCGCCCTTTATCCAGCGGCCGAAGCACAAAAGGAACTTGGCTTCCTTCAATGATCGCAATCGCATCACCCTGCCTTACGTCATCTGAACTCAGCCCAATATGGCCCTTTTTCGTCACAAAAGGAAGCCGTCCCAAGCTTCTTCCCATGATCTCGAATGCCAACGGAAGCTCGTTTGTTACCCTATCTTTAGATTTTGTGTTTATTGTCTGAGTAACTAAGAAGCGTTGTGCCTCAACTCTGAAGCGCCCATTTCCAATAAACCTAACTCCGTCTCGCAGCAGGACGACAGCATCATCGAAGTGGGCATTCCCGGACCGGACAAGTTCCCCTTCACTGTTCCTTGCAACGTCCCCGGTTGCAGTTCGTGCACTTGCGGATAATCGGTCACGAAACCTCTTGTAAAATTTCTTTGTGCAATAACTGAGACGTAAAATCTCAACAAGCCACTCTGAAGGCCATTTCCACGTCTCCAAAAGCGGCACCTCTTTGCTGTCAATCCGGCTGGGGAAACGACCAACTTGATAGATCTTATCGAAAAGAATAGACTTTAGTGATATATACTTTACAATTCCAGCTTCCTTGGATATCTTGATCGAGTTTCTGTTTGTATGAGGGCCTGAGGAGCTGAACTCTGGGTATAGAGTCATATGATCGTTGCGCACATCTTGCAACATATCTGTTACCGATTGAGACCAATCCGGAACCCAAGATGGAAGGTCTGGTGACCTTGAGGCTTGACACATGGAGAGAATGGATATATGGCCCTGCTGTAGTAGCGCTACCATCGTAGTAGTATAGGTTTGTTCGTATGGAATATCATAGTTCGGGACGACGCCGAAACTTTTCAACTCCTCTCGGTCTGCAGCCAGGCCTAGCAAGGCGAAGATCTTGTCTTCTGGTCTTTTTGCTTCGAGGTGATGAGGTCCATGTCGTTTCAGATTTATGCTGCCGACACACGTCGCGCGAAGAAGGGCTACCAATTGGAATGCGTTATCCCGGTGTATCATTGGCATGGTCAGCATGATGGTAGGACGGTGGTGAAATAAAAGCCTCATAATATCTAAGCGATATTTTGTGAACTGAGCTTGCTCTTTCCGGAACGCAGTAGCATTGGCTTTCCATAGTGCCGCATACATGTGTATGAAAGCGTTGCAACGGGTCCTTGACAGTCTTTGGGCTCCGCAAATGAAATGCGTATCCCTGGAAAGAGCAGCTTCTTGTAAGACCCATATCCTCGTCCACCATGGTCTGGTGAAGAAATTTTTCAAGTCGGTAATTGGTAGCACGTTACTCTGACTGCTCCTGCCGCTAATGAAATCGAACAGGCTTTTCATGGCGTTACCGTACCATGGGTTGGCCGATACCACTCGCTGATATCCCCCAGAAACAAATTCGATTTCATGCCATATTTTCGCGCCTAGTTCGGTTCCATCCTCGAAACCACAGGCTTCTGCCTTTGATCCGATGGTTTCGATGCAGCGAATGGCTACGTCACTGCTCTTGTCTGCTGGTCCTAACCATACAAAGACATGATCAGCCCATTCATAAATTTCTCTCATCAAACCCACTTGAAAGCTCTTTTCTTTATTGTTTCCCTGGTTAATACAGATAGCATCGATCCAGAAGTGGAGGGGCTGGTTATGGGACCTTGTATAGCGCTTGAGTCTGGCTAATCTTTTACGATTTTCTCGAAGTTGCCATAGAGCCTCGTGAAGATTTCGTGTCACAGCGATGGTTTTTCCGTTACATAACAGATTCACTGTGTCTTTTGCATCTCCCCATGTGTAAGAGAGTGCGATGTATGGCGGATATTCATTGACCTTATACGTTTTGATACCAAGAGAGATAATTTCGTCGTCATGACCGAATTCAAGGTCGAGCAAACGTATGTGTTGATCGTTTATCCTATCAGAGTATTGGAAATGCGCCCTTGCAGAGACAGTCAGTCTAAATCAAGTGCTATGTAAGTGCTTCATGTGAAAATCGCTTAGTTACTTATAGGGAGGGATGCATGAGGCCTGTGAGGAGTGTTCGTGTGAAAACAGAAATAAATTGGAGCGATTACTCATGCAAATGTTGACCACGTAACGATGGATAAGAGTCCGATGCCTCCATGGTGTTTCTCTCGGCGTACGGGTTTTTGGCGATTGATCCCCAATGTAGAAGACCGGTCTTGTGCTATGTACACTTTTTAATCGAATAGATTAAAGCCATGGGCTGAAAACAAGACGTTGATACTCAAATGCCGTGGACATATAGCGAAGTAATATATGTCAATACTTGGAAACAGCTAGGCAACAATAAGTCCCAAATGTGTGTTGGCAAAGGCGCAGTTAGAGATTGGTGGGGGCGTTGCAGACCGGTGAGCTCTAACTGGAGGAAGGCGCAACTCACAAGGCTGAGGAGCCATCAATTGTACCACATGATGTCGCCTACGATTATGAAGTCGACCATCTTCATCTTGAACCTAGCTTTTGTACGTTCTTTACAAGTATCTAATTACCAGACTCTCGTTAGGCAGGCACAAACTCATCGGTTTCCACTGTGTATGTTCCTCTGCCAAGAGAGATGTCACGTGATGATGCTCAACATACTGGTCCATACCTCGTGAAGAAACAGAGAGAACTTTTCCGTCTCGTTTTACCAGACATCAAAATGTAAAATCAACAAAGATAAACCTGATGTGGTTGCCAGGCATGAAATGAACCTTGGTGTACCAAACTTGACCCAAGCTACAAGCTTACCGCACACGCGTTGACGTCGAAGCTCCACTCGAACCTCGGCCCTGTGTCCTCCCCGCATCGCTCCCACATCCTCCAACTGATCATAGATTAATTCGACGCAGCAACACAAGAACATAGATATCGCAAACCAAGTGCAAAGAAAATTGAAAATAAAAAACATCAATCCCATAAATCTTACAAGCTCTTGTCCTTAAAGAAGCGATAAAAAAGTGTCATCTAATTCCATACGCGCTGCTCCATTGTTTCCACCAACACTCCCAATACGTATACCAACATCGCATCACCCAACATGCCGAGACTATCCAAACAATCTCCCCGCCATAAACCTGACATCCAACTCCCGGCCACATACAACGACCTTCCTTTTACCCAAATCCGCACTCAGCACCATACCAAAGACGCCTCCATCATCATCCTCACGCTCTACCGCCCGCAAAACCACAATGCATTCACCGACACAATGCAAGCGGAGCTGGAATCCGCATACGCCATGTTCGACGCAGACGAGCGCGTAAGATGCATCGTTGTAACAGGCCATGGACGAATCTTTTGTGCGGGCGCAGATCTGGATGATGGGTTTGTGGAAGGGGTGGCTGCGGAGGGAGCGGAAGAGGTGTCGGAGCATAGGGATGGGTATGTTCATTCCTTCTCACACTATTCATCTTGAATTGACTATTGGGGATGCTGGGTTTTGCTAATGCTACGAGAACAGAGGCGGACGCGTTGCGCTTGCTATACATCACTGCCGGAAGCCAAGCATAGCTGCGATCCAGGGTTCCGCAGTTGGCGTAGGTATCACCATGACGCTGCCTATGAACATCCGCATTGTAGCGGCGACAGCGAAGATAGGGTTTGTTTTTGCGCGTCGCGGACTCGTCATGGAAGCTGCTTCTTCGTTCTATCTGCCTAGGTTGATTGGGCACTCACGTGCCATGCAGGCTGTTACCACAGGCAGCACGTATCCAGCTACACACAAGATCTGGGACGGTCTTTTTGCAGAAGTGTGCGAGAAGCCTGAGCAGGTGCTGCCGAGGGCGCTCGAGCTGGCTGAGGACGTGGCTGCGAACACGAGCAGTGTTAGTACGTATCTAATGAAGGAGTTGATGTATAGGGATCGAGGAAGTCCCGAGGGCCAGCATCTATTGGACAGTAGGATCATCTTTGAGTTGTTTGGGTCGCCGTAAGTTTATGCAACATAAAGAATTTGATATCGGCGAGCTAATTGTGAATGCAGGGACAACAATGAAGGTGTCAAGTCTTTCATCGAAAAGCGACCGGCAAATTTCAAGGGAACAATAAATAAGGTGAAGGTGACAGGGTACCCGTGGTGGGTACCTGTGGATACATTAGGGAGGCCAAAAGTGGCGCCGACGGGAGGACCAAAGATCTAATTGCATGTCAGAGGATAAAGCAAAGGCACATGCAATACCACATGTTGACTCGCAATTTCATGAGTTCATTGTCTATCGTCCAGCTCGTACCATACCCTCATCTGGTAGTCTGAGACTTGCCCTATTTGCGGAACCCTGGCCAGCACCCTGTGTAGCATCACGCGTCTCGATGACTCGAACGGAGGTATCAGGGATTTTCATTCGTTCCTAGTGTACTTCTTTTCGTGAAGCATGCATAACCGAGGGAAACCCATAACAATCCTTCCCATCCAGACCGCACTCCGTAATAAGAAACACGCTTAGAAGAAAGTGGATGGGCGGTGGGCAGCGAAGACCTTCTTGCCCGCCTTCTTGTTGATGCGGTGGGGCAGCGGGAACTTGAGGTTCTTGGTGAGGAGCTGCTTGATGTATGGTCGGCGGAGGTCATCGGCCTTCTCAACCTCAACAACCTTGAGGATCTAAGCAAAGTGTGAGCTTGACGTTGCAGATTACGGATCAAGGATAATCATACCTGAACGGACCTGAAGCGCGTTCGGTGACGGGCAGCCATGTCCTGGTAGAGAGCCTCGACGGCGGCGACACGGGACATCTCACGGTACTCCTTGTACATGTTGTGGGTGCCGGAGCGCGAGTCGTACTTGATCCAGATACCGAAGTTCTTGACCTTCTGGGGCTTCTTCTCGTGGATCTGGACGCGGGTTAGCCTCAGTGCTCCGGGCTGTGTGTTTGTTTGTGACTGCGGCGTACCTGGTTTACGGAGACGATCTCACCGTTGGCCTTCTTGATCTTGCGGAGCTTGCCAAGGAAGTACCAGAACCGTGACTTGGCGACGACCTCGTTGGGCGCAAAAATGCGCATACGGTAGATCTTTGGCGCAGGGTTGGCCTCGGAAGGCAGATGGCGCCCGATGATCTGGTATTCCTGGAAGCGAGCTGATGCATCGTCAGTACTGCTCCAAAAGAAAAAGTTTCGTAGTCTCTGTTCCAGCAATTGCAGCAGTCATACGCAGTGTAGGTCGATCGTGCTAAGGCGATTGGGATGCGGTCGGGGGAATCCAAATAGGCGCGTGCAGGTTCTCAATTTTCATCCAAGGCCATCATCACGGTTGCTTGACGCCCTCAATCCACCAAGCAAACACGAGGAAGCCTATGCAAACTCTCTTCACATCCTTCTATTCGTTCGTCATGTTCGATGTGCTGTCACAGGCTTTTCGGTGCGTGTCGCGGGTTTGTGCGAAAACTCCATCGGCTGCAATTACTGGGCGAGACGGTGATGCGCAGGAAATCGAAAGAGAGTGCTTACCCATCTGTGATGTATTAGCAAGCAGAATGCGTGAGAGAAGGCAATATGGACTGACCGTAATTGTGCTGTGGTTAGTACCTTGGGTTGAGAAGTTCAGGTCGTCTATCGCGAATTGTGGCCGGCCTGTCGAATTCGAGGTCGCTTGTGGGCGCTAGCCGAGAAGAGGAGCCACCACGACTTGGCGGCCAGGTGCGAGCTGCATCGGCGAACCCACCGCCCAAACACCGACACTACTAGCATCCACAATCGTCAGAACATCAAACAGCTCAGCTTCTGGCACGGGCACAACACGACATGTCTAACGGTTGAGAACACCACCGGAGGCCGCCAATACTGCTGAGACTCTCCGAAATACCATCTCTACCTGCAGTAGTCCCAGCTGTAGCCTCAGTTCCAGCCCCAACCATGCAAGCCGCACTCGAACCTTTCCATGAGGCATATGCCACAGGGTTGGCGCAACCCGTCGCAGACTTTCTCAGCCCAGTTGCGCCTGCGCATGATCCTGGGCGGCTGTATGAATTCTACCGCGCATCCAACGGAGATAAGATTGAGGGCGATGTTCGCTATGCGCTCAAACACAACAAGAGCGCGCGCATGACCAACAAAGAGAGCGGTGCTTGGGTTGATATCATTGCTGCTTATTGGCGCGCTGTGAGGGAGATTATAAGGGCGGACGAGGCTGCAAATCAGGACAAGCTCAACGAGCGCCAATTCGTGGCAGTGTATGATGCTTGGAAAGAGTTGACCAGCTATTTTATCAAGCACATATCGGCTGGGCTACTGCCAGCGTGGGCCATCTTTACGCTGTATTTCACTGCGAATCATCTTAGGAAGATAGCTATCAGAGCAGACGAACAGTTGGCCAAGTCGAGATCAGCAACTTCCAGCACGGAGTTTTCAGACGACATCGTGAGCACTGCCCCTCAGAACCCAAAGCTTGAAGAGGCTGCTCGAGTATTCAACAGGATCTTTGCGCTATGCCTTGGTGACAGGTGTGCCATATCTCTATTGCTGTGTTTGAGTAGTTGTCTTACAATGCGCCAGAAACCCAGACATGTCCGAGTCCCGTAAATGGGGTGTGTACTGCATAGCCAATCTCCAGTTCAAGACATACTTCAAGGTAAGAACTCTTCGATGACTGGTTCCTAGTAGCCGCTGATTGAAAAAAAAATCATAGTTGAAAGCCATCAGTCTCTCCAAGAACGTAGTGCGATCGATCGAAGCGCAGTCCGACCTACCTACATTCGAGTTATACCCACGCGCCCATAGGGTGACATACAAGTACTATGTTGGAGTGCTCTCATTCCTGCAGGAGGACTATGCCAAGGTATGCCCAAAAGCCAATACAATGGGGGTCCCTCTAACATCTGGTAGGCAGAGAGTAGCTTGCAGCAAGCATGGGAGTCCTGCCATTCGCGGTCGCAACACAACAAATCGTAAGTGTGATAATCAATAAGAGGGTGCATGCCAAAATCTGACTGCTTTAGCCTGATCCTCACGTACTTGATTCCTTGTCGTCTCATCACCCAGCACAAGATTCCGACGACGAGCCTTCTCGCAGAAGCCCCACATCTACAGCGCACCTTCGGGCCTCTCGTATCGTGTATAAAACGCGGAGATCTTACGGGCTTCGACAGGGCTCTTGCGGAGGGCGAGCCTGAGTTTGTCAAGCAGCGCATATTTCTTACCCTAGAACGAAGTCGCGATATCGCCTTGCGCAATCTTCTCCGAAAAGTATATCTTGCCGCCGGCTTTGACGATCTCAAGGAAGGACAAACGGAGAAGGATAGGATACGCAAGTCGCGCATACCACTAGCGCATTTCGCAGCCGCACTCCGAATGGGGACTGCAGGCGAAGGCAGCGGCCAAGTCGTGGAGGACGACGAGGTGGAGTGCTTATTGGCGAACCAAATCTACAAGGTATGAACCAACGCAGCGGGTGTACCGATCAAAAGTTGGGCTGACAGGTTTCTTAGGGTCTGATGAAGGGCTATATCTCGCGCGACCATGGAATAGTAGTCATGAACAAGAAGGGAGCATTCCCCGGGACAGGGGTCTGATGCCTAGACTCTATAGTCTGCTGCCTTGTGTAAGTACAGTCACCACACCACCTCAACATGATTCTTGGCTTTTGCGGGAATATGACTCTGGCATATCATGAACACTGTGCATGTGCACAAGGGCATTGCGTCTTGGGTTCGTTGCACAGATGAATGGTACATTCATAGAACTTTGGCAAGACTGAGAATAGAGAAATTCAAACAACATACCCAGGTCATGGTACTAGCTACATCGCTCTTAATCATTACTATCCCTTGCATAACTATGAACTGTGAGACGCACGGGCCATATATAGTGAGCGAATAGTAGCATCTCCACTCTGTCCTCATTCCATCCCTCAAGCAAACATCCCTACTCGGCGCTCATGAGCTGAGATTACATTTTTCCGAGCCACTTCTCGTCCCCTTTGTTGTCCCGCTCCACCTTTTCTTTTCCTTGTCTACGTCGGCTGTGTACAGTCTGCGTCCAGTCTCATCTTCGCAACCGTTCTGCTACAAACGCGTACTTGTTACGGTGACTTTTCACCAATAAAGCAATTAGAACAACGAGACCTTGACAGGCATGAAACACTTCACATATCGTACAAAGACGGTCAGATGTAGTAGCAATTGCGATTGTAATCGGCAAACCGCATCAATTTCTCATGATACCAAATAACCATCATTGGAATAAACATGGCGAATATCTCTAACTCTGAAGAGACCAGGCCAGCGTGATACAATCTGGTAACAGGTCCCTCACATGAAAGCAGTACAGCTCAATAGAAAGAAGGAAAAACAAGTGTCAATAAAAAGATATTACCTGATCGTAACGAAGAAAACAATCTTTCGAAAAAAAAGCTTAACACATATGCCTCGGTGCATCAAGCACTCTTCCGCAATTTCTTTAGTTTGTCTGCGCTTTGATCCCCATTCTAGCAGCCGCAGAAGCGCACAAACGCCAAAAAGTGAGTAAGTAAGAAGAAAGAACGTGGGAATATAATAGTACAACGGTGGGAATACAAATGAAATAGCGAAACGAGATGAAAGATGGAAGGAAGTAATGAAGGAAGGAAGAAAATCCAAGAAACGCCTTGCATAAACAAAGAAGAGTAGGAAATAATGATAGAGAAGGACCGATACTGGGGGAATACGTAGCTGAGGGATGATCGGGGGAGGAAAGGTAATATGTACAAGAAGAGTAAGAAAGAAGGGAGATGAAAAAAAGGGTCAGTGAGTCGTTGCACCATGGGCAGTCATGCGAAGCCGACCAAAAACGATCGACTGCGCAAAGGGCAGTTTGTGACAGCGCTAGTACGCCGGTTTGCCAGACAAATCATCCATATGATTGACCATGGCGACGAAGAGATCGAAGAAGAGCTTGCCACCATTCTCCATCTCATTCTGCATGGTGCCACTGCGCTTGAACGTGTGGCGTGCACGGATAATGAGCGCGAGGTAATGCGCACGCAGCTTGGAATCGTTATCAGGCGTATTCGCATACGCGTACCGTGCCGACGTGAGGATGGTCGAGCACTGGATCCCAGACTGCAACCCTTGCTTCTTCAGCGCTAGCTTCTTCAGTTCCTGAAGCCCGTACTTGTCCGCCTGGCAATAAATAATGGTGTCTTTCAAGATGGGGCCGACGGAGGACTGGATGACGGCTTCATTTGCGTTGTTGGCGCCGGCGCCGCCGTCTTCGAGGTTCCAGCTGTTGCGCTTCTTGTCGTACTCGGCGCGCGGGTAGTAGTCGCCTTTGTAGAGATACTCGAGGATGGAGGAGAAGACTTCGGGTTCTTCGTCGGGGAGGTCGATGCGCTTGTTTGTTGTGGTTTGGAAGAATTGGCCGGAGCAGAGGGATTGGAACCAAGGGGAGTGGGAGAGGACGTCTTCGTGGGCGGCGAAGAGGCGTTGTTCGCGGCCGACGGATATGGTGACGATTGCACTGGGGAAGTGTTGTTAGTAAGGCTGTCGCAGAAAGGATATTGAAAGGGTAAACTCACCTCCCGAGAGATGGAGATGTCGGACTGGGTTGCGCTGAGGATGCCTGTGCTTGCTGTGCTAATTTCTCTACTCTTCTGGGTGAGTCCTTGAAGGAAGGGTTCTTCTTGGACGACTTTGACTTGCTTGCTCGATGTTTCGAGAAGCTACCTTCCTGGTATCGTGTGCGGTTTGATGATGATGAGAACATATTTTACAGATGGTACTGAAGACGAGGCTTTTGATGAGTAGGTGTCGTAGATACTTATAGGTACAGTTAGTAGGCAGCAGATGTAGGAATCTGGACTGGCAGGCCAATGGAAGATGCAGTTCCTCAGGCAGACGATTAGCTGGGCACAACAGGCGATGCAGGCCAAGTAGCGAGCGACTGCAGCCATGTATATATACTTGACTGCTCACAGGAGGCCACTATCGGGCCCTCTGCCGGGGTGAGGTTGAGGTGCGACGCGGATTGGACGCGTCAACTAGTATGACTAACGCGTCGGTCTCGCGGTATCACATGCAGCGCCTTTCCTTTTCGGGGTGTTAAGAGTCAGCCCTCAGCAGACGGCAAAGCCTTGGACCGGGGCCAGTTAGGACTTGGCCAAGGTTGTGAAACAAAGGCGGGACAAAGAGCTGATTGCGCTAGGCTGGCGCTGCCCATGCTTCTGCTGCAATGAGCAACTCGAGCTGTAAGAGAGACATCGCTTAGAGCTCGAGGATGCTTACTCCTACACCCACTTGCGACATATCCTTTCATTCTTTTTCATCCTTTTCTTCCTGCAGTCGCCAATGGGCATCCACACGGAGCGGTCGAGTCGGCGAGTCCCTTGTCGCGTCCCTCGCCGAAGCCAGCACCCTTTCATGGCACAGCTCGCGCTATGGCCAGGCTACCCAGGAAACTTTGCGAAAAGCAAACGCAGCCGATGCCGCGCAGTAGCCACCGTCGGTTCATCGCTCCCACCTACGCATACATACCCAGCAAGGAGGCGTGGCTGCTCGTCCTATGCCTAATCCACATGCGGTCCTCCGTTCCCCCTGGGAGGCAAAAGTCGCGTCGGCCTCACCTAACAAGCATGGAACAAGGCACTGATCCGGTTCCGCGCAACGGTGCAATTCGCCGCCAGATAAGCCAATGCTAATAGTCATCAAATGATGCCTAATGTCGCGGCAATATGCCTCGCTGATCGTTGAGCCTTGGAAGAGAGGGGTCGACTTGGGGCGAGAGGGGGAGCGCGCCCTACCCTCGCTTTCACGCGCCAGCCCGCCCCTCAACGCGACCGTGACACAAAATCACGTTACCACTTACACCTCCTTCCGGTATGGCCTCGGACGCCAGTCTGCAACCCAACCGTTTCGCACCCTTACATAGCTGTGCTCTACTTGGAGGACTGCGCCCGTCTCATGGTCGGCGGCCATGATACCTATCTTGACGCCTTTCCGGATCAGCCCTGGTTTGCTGGGTGATGCCATGGTTCTGTCAACAACATTGAGTCAACATCGGTTTCCACTGCAACCGCATACTACATCTCAAGTACTAGTGGACGCTTCGCTGTAAATCTGCATTCATAGATGTACAGAGCAACCTAAATAACGGATCCTCGCGACCTTTTCTCGCCACAGATTTCACACACAGCCTCTGTTGGCATCGGGCTCTCCCTGTGCATTCATCCTTTCTTTGTCCACACATCCTAGCCTATCTTGGGCGGTGCCTGTCTATGGCTTTCCTGGCTCATCCTATTGGCTCGTCCCTACACCCTCTTCGTTGTGAAAAGTATCTAGCGCCACCTACTCGAACTCTGGTAATGGGCTTGCCGAAAGATCCGTTTTGCTCAGCATTAGATCAACGCCGTACCATATATCTATGCTCCCAATCTGCAAAGGGTGTAGAAACATGTCGCATAGTATCAGAGGCTTGGATCCTGGCTGCTGTTTAGGTGGTGTAAGAATGACCTACAGCTGAGACAATTGCTGCCCTATGCAGGCAGACGGCTTGGACTGATGGTCCTTTACGCCGAGATTCCTTGCCGGGAAGTTGGGCTGTGCAGCCTCCAGCAGCCAGTGCGGCACTGCAATGTCACTATTTCTCCGCTGAAAAAAGAACTGGACGTTTTCTTGACAAGCTGTTCTCTCTCCCTTCAATACTGTACTCGCTTTTCACAGGATGATTTGCGAATAGCTTGATACAACATCTATGGCTTTTTGACACCTTCCACTAGGCACCCTTTGACTATATGCGAGTTTCGTCGCTCGCCCTCCCGGCGCACACTTCTTACAAACAGCCTGTCTTATTCTATGCGAGACGAAAGTCGAACATCTTGCCGCTCCCCATGTCATTTGGGTTCTTGGCATCCCTGCACTCTAACAGCCTCGAAGAAGGTTTTTTTATGGTACAACTAACAGACTTGACAGCTCAGATTGTATGGAGTCTGATGAATCACAGTCTCCTAGGTCTAGATCTAAATTACAACCGGCATCTTGTTCGATTGGCATGCACCGGTCATCGTCAAATAACAGGTACACTGCTGCCATGCCAAAAAAAAAGAGTGACAATGTTCCATTTCTTCACACTCCACTGACCTATACGAACCCATACCAGTAACGATTTCACCAAGGCACGAACAAACATCCTCACACTTCAAAACACAAAAAAGGACAAGACATCAAATGCTCTTTCAAACGCTAATTTCATTACTTTAATTTCCAATACCCTCCCCAACAAGTGCATGACAAGCGCTTTCCTACTCCCAAGTTTCCTTATGCAAGTTACTGAAAAACAACCAAGGCGCATCTTTCGTTCTGAACGGGCAGTAAATATAAAACTACTCGTACAGTCGTGGTATCAAATCCTCCTTACCCCCCAAACGCTAGCTTCGTCGGCATGAAATAATGTTTTCAAGCAGTGACTTCGCCTTCGGCAAATGCTCTTCCAATTTCTCGTGCTACACCGACTCGCAACACAGCGATGATATCGTCGCTCTTTGCGCCTTGGGGAAAGCCTTTGCGCCAATCCCAGCCGCGCTTGCTGTCATCGACGTGACCGCCCTTGACCAGTACCGTGGAGCCTTCAGCGCTCTGGCCGTCTGTGGAGCCAAAGTCTGCGGATCCGATGATCGAGTACTGGCTCGAAGCCGTGGTCACGTTAGAAGTCGACTTGGTGAGGAAATTGTGTGGGTTCGGTATTTGTGGTGAAGAGTTGGCGTCGTGTGCGGATAGCAAGGTAGTGTTTAGCACTTCCTCACACTGCGCTCGGATCATACTGGGCGCAGTATCCAAGTCCTCGACAGCGGCGAGAAGGTCGTAGAGATGGCGAAGAGTCAGAGTGCGTTTGGGTTGGTTTACGAAGATGAGGGCTTCGCCTAGAAGTGGTAGCAAAACGTCGACGGGGACTACGGTCTCAATCTCTGGATCGTACAGTCCTCCCCGGATGCTCGACGCTGCACTGGCGATGATGACCATGAGTGAATTGGCAGCAGCACGTTTCCGAGCCATGGGTCGGTGTGCTGGTTTCTGACCATTCTTCAAAAGCACCTCTTCATCTCGCAGGTCGTAGTACTTGCGGATGGTCGCGTAACCACTAAGGTGATTGGAGAGCAATGATGCAGCTTCAGAGTCTGTATTGGCGAGCTTAGTCAGAGCTTGTTTAGGAGAGGTGATTAGCGAGCTGAGAGATTCGTCCAGTTCGTCCAGAGGCGGGTACGCCATTGATTTGACCAGGCAGTGGGCAACGAGCACACGAAGGACTTCTTGAATTCTCGATGCATCGTGAGCACGGGCATAGTAGAGGAGAGTGTCGCCGTAGCTCTCGGTATTGGTGCGGAGATGGTCGGCGTATTTCTATCATGGTCAGCATCAACAAGTGAGGGTCCAAAGTGGTGACGTACCTGAGCAATGGTGACTGCATGTTGCGAAAGACCCAGGTTATGACACAGTTGAGTGATCTTATCGACTCGACTCGACGACTCAAGAGGTAGCTCATTGAGTATCCGCTCGATACGCTCATTCGCCGCTATAGTATCATCCAGTCTTCCTAGGACCTGCACAGCCAGCTCCCATCCCTCTTTCAACTCTTGGCCTTCTTTGCCTGTAATCTGTCCCTTGGATGCCAACAGGTCCGAGTATGTAACAAGCAAGTCATCCTTTGTCACACCCTTTGGCTGCTGTTGCTCGGTATAGCTCAGAACCATCAGGTCGTCCTGATCGAATTGATCCAACAAGCCCTTTGCGCCCTTGAACCACTCTCCCGCGCTGGCAATCTCAGCCACTGCGGAAGCGATCGTGAGAGACCAGCCCTGAAGAATCTGGAGCGCACCTTCTGCGTTGTCGTCTAGTACGCATGCTAGACCCACCTCGAAACGGTCTACAGAGTTTATGCTGAAATCCTCGTCGCTGTTTTGTATGACCGCCGCAAGCGCAGCAGAGAGGCGCTGAGTGTAAGCTTTGACCGGCGTCACGTCAACAGGGCGAACCCGTTGTGACCGCATCAGGGAACGACGGCTAGCTGCCAGACTGCCTAGCCCGAGCTCCTCTTCCTCTCCGTTCCACCAGATGGTCAGACCAACGGTCGCTTCAATCCAATCGGCCGACAAGGTAAGAATCTCCTCCTCGTTACCAAGCAAGAGCTGATACATCCTTTCCAGGTTCTCATAGACAGACCACGGTACTTTGCTTTCTGCTTTCCGGCTCGCTACGCTGAGTTGGAAGCTTGCTTGACTCTGCGAAATGCCAAAGTGGGCCGCTTGGAAGGGCTGTGATATAGAGTGACGGCTCGCGCTTTCGCCTTCGGCAAAGTCTTCTAAGCCAACAGAGGTTTGCTGAACGCGCTGACGGAAAATAGTCCAATCATGCCCTTTAATGTCCCAATCTTCTGATGCGATAGCAGGACACTCACGCAAAAGGTCGATTGCTTGGCGGAGTGCGTGGTTTGCATATTGTAGATGCGTTCCGGTGTATCCAGCGCGTCCCAGTCCGTCATGGTCGGCTGTTTCGGCATGTTCAAGCTGCGCGCCCTGGAGTAGCTGTAAAGTTTGTGCGAATTTTCCTCGGGCGATGGTAACATGCACAACCTCCCAGAAAGAAGAATGTCTGGAATATCCACCAGTCTGTTTCAAAACCTCAGTCACCTCAGAGCCGCCATCGAATGTGCTATTCAGCCAGTCGAGCAAAGCTTTCGGGATTGGCGTGTATTGTTTCGATTCAGATCGCGCTGGTACCAAGGACAAGGCAGAGGTTCGCTGGTCTAGTCCAACTTGGGGAGGGTGGTGTAGAGTGAGCAAAAGAGCTGCCAGTTGTGTGGTCTGCGAAAGCTCCATTACATTTTCTGGTCGGCTTGAGGATGTGTTGTTTCGGGAGGTCGACTTGGACGCGGCTCGCCATGTTGCTATCAACTCGTGAGCGACAGAGCCAACCACCTCGGTCCTCTTCTCTGGCGAGTCCGATTGCAGCGATTCATACACCTTCTCGACCAACAACTCCGTGTCGAGTATCAGATGGTCAGGTTCGCGAAGACGCGATCGACCAGCGTCCGAGGTAAGGCCCTTTGCAAGCGCAAGAAGGTCAAACTGAGTTTGCTTTGCGCCTGGCCGAACCAAGGTAGGGCCTGGCTCTACGTCGTTTGCGCTCGTCCTTGACACTGTCGACTGGGCGAACCTGCTCTGTGTCTTGTTGCGCCGTTGTGGCGAGTAGTGTTCTTCTTCATCTTCAGAACCCTCTTCGTCGTCCATTTCGTCGTCGTACTCTTCTTCGTCCTCGTCGGTGTATTCATCCTCGTCGTTTGTGCTCTGAGCATGTCTGTTTTGCGCGCCATTGACTGGGCGAAACTGGCTCGAGTTGGTGGGACGTCCTCGCTGGACATGAGGTCGGCCTACAGTCGAAGTGCCCATTGAGCCCGATCCAACGCCCTCAAGCAGATCATGCTTGGGCGGTGAGCTTCCAAACAATGAAGTAGCGCCGAAATCGTAGTGGTTGGGGTTAAAGGCTGGCCGCGACGATCCAAACAAGCCGTTGTTCATGCCGGGCGGATGGCCAGCAGGCGTTGTCGATGGGGGAGGCTCGGGGTAGCTATCGTAGTCGCGGCCGGGCGTGGAAGGTGGAGTGGGAGATGGGACACGAAACATTGCAGTTGCTGGTGTGCTGCTCTGCGGCCCCAGGCGTCGGACAGGCTAGTAGGGCAGTGGACCGACTTAGTAGTCTGCAAGCAACAATGCGACTAGCACTTTGGGCGCGGTAATTTCAGTATCACGGAATTTGCAGCATATGCGCGCCAGCGGGCCGCAACGAGTGAAGTGGAGATATACGTTCGTCCCTTGTTCAGCCCGTGGTCGCGGTCGCAAAACATAAACTTTGGTGAGCTTCGGAGCGACGCGCCTGATCCGGCCCGGTCTTGGCGCGTTGCCAGCTCGGAGGCCGGCGGCACTGTTTCTCCGCGACAGGCAGCAGAGCCAGCGTCAGACGACGACGACGGGAGCAGAAGGCAGGCCGACCATCCATGGGCCACGTGCAACTGATTCACGCCGCATGTGTGCCCAAACCCTATTGGGACGGGCCTCTACCTCATCGTGTTTTTCTGCTTGTTCCTGGCTCCGCTCTAACGAGTGGCTAGTACTCACGACCCAGCCTCCTCAACGAATCAGGCGACGTGCATGTCCCCTCCTAGTGGTGGGCAGCAGCCGTCTTGGAATCGCCTCGACGACCCGCTGCATCTGGTAAATCAATATCTGATGACGGCACCTAAGAATTCGTCCGAGTCGTAAGATACAGGGGTTAGTCACCTGCGAGCGACTGTCCAGGCCATTATTAAACATAACTACCCGATCCTACAGCAGCGCCACCACCTGCATCGGCTGACGTACCGCGCAACTGAAAAACGGTCGTCGCCTGCTGCTCAACCACGTATTCCCGACGCTTCCGACTCTTGCCCTCCTTCTTTGCTTTTCCCTTGGACCATCCATCACGCTTCCATGCTCTGCATCCATGTGTAGTTACACTCAAATCCACCTCTAGCACCCAGTCAGCCTGTGACGTAGTCAGCCCGCCAACATGGCCCTGTGGTCCAAGACGAAAACCCAGTCCAAAGCCGGCTTCGACAAGGTCTATAACTGGGTCGACAAACTCGGTGCCCCCGTCAACCGCCTATCCAACAGAGTCGGCGCCGAAGCATTCTGGCCCACGACGCTCGACATTGAGTCTGACAAGGCTGCGCGCATTCTCAAGAGTTTCTGCAGTATGTCACCGCTACATGTCCACCCGCATTCACTGACCCTGTCACAGAGGATGGCTTCTACGAGGAAGAAGACCAACCCGCCACCGCCAATGTGCCCCAAGGGAAGCAGAAAGTGCTCAAGAAGATCCCGTCCAAGGTCATACAAAATGCGAAAGGTCTTTGCATCTTCACAACCATGCGGACAGGCTTTTGGGTCTCTGGATCCGGTGGAGCCGGTATACTTGTTGCGCGAAAAGAGGACGGCACATGGTCACCGCCCTCTGGCATCATGATGCATACAGTCGGCGTGGGCTTTCTCTTAGGCGTGGACATCTACGACTGTGTCATTGTCATCAATTCAGACAAGGCACTGGAGGCTTTTCAGTCAGTGAGATGCACCCTGGGCGGGGAAATCAGCGCGGTCGCAGGTCCAGCTGGTGTTGGGGCCATGCTGGATACCGAGATTCACAAACGGCAGTCCCCCCTCTTCACCTACATCAAGTCACGAGGATTCTATGCCGGCCTTCAATTAGACGGAACCATTGTCATCGAACGCACTGATGAGAATGAGCGTTTTTATGGCGAGCGCATAGGGGTGAAGGACATATTGGCTGGAAAAGTGCAGCACGTACCTCAAGAGACAAGAAGACTCCTGGAAACACTCAAATCAGCCCAAGGCGATACCGATGTCGATGAGTCTTTGATTCCAGACGAAGCTTCGCCGGGTGACTTTGAGATCACAAGCCCCGAAGAGAAGACTTTTGGCATCCCGGACGCTGTTGATCCCGATCCATTTGGTGTGCTTGCGCTACAAGAGGCCGGTCTGGAGATCAGGGAAGCAGGAACACACAGCCGACCATCAAGCGAGCAATTCGAATTCAAGCCCAGCCCGACGAGTCCTATTTACAACACCTTTAGAAACTCCACATATCGTAGGAGTATGGACCGGTCGAGCATTGCCGGGAGCCGACCATCGAGCTGGCGAATGAGTAACATCAGCAGCGTATTTGAGCCTCGGGCACCAACGGTTGATATGAGCACGCAGACCGACGATCTGCCACCACCTCCTCCGACCATCAAGAAACCGGCCCCGAAACTACCACCACGAACAAGCGTCGCACCTACGCCTGCTACTCCCACGATAGAGATACCCGAGACAACGATCGAACACCCTACCCCGCCACGACCAACGAGTGCCGAAAAGAAGCCCGAAGAGGCTACTCCTACAGCTCCTGAACCGCAACCTCAAGCACAGCCTCAATCAAGCAAGGCTATTGATGACAAATCGAACGGCTCTCTCCGGAAGGAGGCATCACATGATAATGCGGATCTTAACAAAGATGACGAGGACGAGGATGATGATGATGATGAGTTCGAAGAGGAGCCAATTGTTCATGAGATCCATCAGGCAGCAGCCCCGCAGGCAATTCGTGCACGCGTCGTCCAAGTGGCGAAGCCCGTTGCCCCGGCCCTGCCTGCCAGGAATCCCTTCCGCAACCGTATGTCGACCAACTCAGATGGATCACTGAACACAACATCAGCCATGCCTTCTCCGACTATCCCAAAGCATAGCCCGGATTCAACTCCTTCCCTCATGCGTGGAGACTCGACTTCATCTTTGTCTTCTGTAGAGGACAGCAGACTCGAACAGATTGGCAACCGACTCAAGCCCAAATACTCTCACGAGCCATCGCCAGTACACAACAAGACAGACAATGAGGCTCTCCATTCGCCCCCAGAATCTCCTATCAAGAGCATTCCGGGTGGTTTCAACTAAGGCAGTCACGTTTCTATGGTTACAAAACTTCGTCATGATGTTTACATGCCGCTCTTTGGTTTTTCTATTCTCGGCTGCATAGCGGCATTGTTACCTATACCCGAATTACATTACTGTAGAAGCTTGGCCTAACGTTGTCTATTGCATGCTCCTGCACCTGTTATCTCAGCTCGACAGTTACGCATTTGACGACTGTTCCCTGCTTATGCAGTTAGAGTGGATCAAGGTACCAATTTGGAACCTGGGCTCGCTCTTCATGCTGAGGGTATCATTACTTCTGTCTTTTACGCCTAACGACTTTATTGATATCCACATTTTTGCTCCACGGTTCGCTCGCATAGAGCGTTTCGCTATAAAATCTATAATTATTAGTCTAGCACAGAAATACATTATGGTTGATCTTCTCAGCAATTGGTATTTTGATTATTAAGATGATTCGTCATGGTATTCACACAAATGCTGTTACCTACGAAGCTAGTAGTTGGCCTCGTGGCGCTGGTGACGGAGCTAGAGATGGCGCCCGTGCCAACCCTGCCAAAATTTCGTGACCGCAGAAGGTCCACCAGCAACGAACTCTACCACTTCAAGCGCATACATGTGAACACTTCCACCACGCAATCGCGGACTCCCTTGCGCATACCCCACTCAGCGCCTGAATCAGAATCGCCTGCGCTTAAGCCAAAAAAATACTCAATTCTCAACAACACCTCCAGTTGATCCCTTCACCTCCCAGCGCAAACCCATCACCCACTACCCACTATGTCGCCGCAACCCACCAAAACCGCCAAACCGCCCCCGAAAACCGTCGCAGATTTCACCGTCCTCCCCCTCACCCTCCCCCCGCTCCCAGGCCTCCCCGACCAATGCTCTGTCGCAAAACACTACATATACATCAAACCGCACACGCCCTCCGTCCCAACCGCCTCCTCAGACCGCAGCCTCTTCATCGCCAACCTCCCGCCCGACGCCTCCGAAACCTCACTCCGCACGCTCTTCTCCTCGCAACTCGGCGGCTCAATGATCGAGCGCGTAGACTTTGACGCCTCTGTGCCTGCGGAGCCGTTGCACAAGCGGTGGAAGAGCGAGGCGGGCGGCACGGCTGCTGTGCAGGGAAAGAAGAGGAAAAGGGGGGTGGATGATAAAGAGATTGTAGCGGAGGGTGTGGTGGAGGATGCCGAGAGTGCGTTACCCCCGCTTTGGAGCAGTGGGATACGCAGGAGTGGGAGTGCGGGGGTTGTGGTGTTTGTGGATGGGAAGAGTGCGAGGGGGGCGGTGAGGGGGGTGCAGAGGGTGGTTAAGGAGGGGGT